GAAAAGTAACTTTCATATTCTTTTCTTAAGTTCAGGTGGTGCCCTTATCTATTTTCATTTGCCGTTGTGAGGCCTTATGGATGAAAGCAGTGCAGTTGGAAAGTAACTGTGGAAATTTGCACGATAACAAGAAATATAGCCTTCAGTTCTGTGAAGGAACATCTCATGTTCAGTCAGTTAGAAAGATTTTTTCAAGTGAAGATTTAGGTGTAACTTTGATTGGAAGTTTGAAGGTTCGTGGTTGGTTTTGTATTTCCTAATGTCTTTAGTAATACTGCTGATACATTTGCCAATTATCTAAACTGTATTTGAGTTTTTACACAACAACAATACATGATAGTATCTGAGTACAAAATGCTGGTGAAGTAATCGAAAGGTGTAGGTCATTGTGACAGAATATGATTTACTATATTGACACTCAATGTTCAGGTGTTAGCATTAAAGAGTTGAATCTCATAAAAACAAAAAGGCAATTTTATAGTCCAAATCTGCACAACTTTCGTTGTTTTACCATCTATCATTGTATAATACTATAATGTATGTGTAATTCAACAAATTATATTTATTGCAGTTGATTTATTCTTCATTTCATATTCGATTATACAGACTTCTCCATCTTCTGGAAGACTGCAGTTGGTTGATGCAACTGGGAGCATTGATGTTCTTGTACCAGACCTTCCATCAACTCAGGATGCCAGTAGGATATACAAGGTCGTGATTGACAATAGTGTTACCACTCATTCTCCATTAGAAATAACCACCTTTCTGGAATGAGATAGCTATTGATCGGTACATGTCCAATAAACCTTTTGTATCTGGACTCACTTAGTTCTGTTTGGCTTTCCAGGTAGTTGACTACAGTCTTGTTATTGAAGGAATGCCCCGGTCTGAGGATTGTACAGGATTGCTTGACAGTGATTTATTTTCATGCAGAAACATCTTTCATCTGATACCATTGACAAGAAAGATGAACTTAACAGTTTATGTTTACTTTTGCCTGAGGAATTCTATGTGCAGAAATCTTCCCTTCTATCCTTGTACTGGACTTGGAGAAGATTTGAAGAGACTTGAAAGTGAAACGTTTGACCTGCTTTTGGTTACCCACAAATTTCCAGTTCTACAGAAGGTATATTCAAAATTTGGCCTTTTAAATAATTTCTGTAATGTTTTTAAAGCTGCGTCTATGAGCTCCATGTGTGTTTTCACAAACCCCAAAATGGAAGAGTGGGACCTTAATAGTGGATGTGGCAATGCGAAATGCTTTCTGTTTTCACTCTACTTATCAGTTATCCATTTATATGAATTTTAACAGTTTTCAGGTGATTTGGTGATAGCGAACCCTTCAAGTATGTTTGTGGAGGCCATAATCTTGCCTTGGAAATTATTGTTTTCTGGAAGTGATCAAATTTCATATCCAACTAAGGTTTTAGGGGATGATCCGAAGAATTCCATGGAACCTTCTCCCAAGAGATGGAAGGTTGATCACTCATCAAGCAGGGGTTCAAGTTCCAGTATAATAGGCACTTCCGGTGAGCCAACCAGAGAACTGAGTTCTTGTTCTATTTACATGGAATCTAGTGAGAAACAGAGATATTGTGACTTGAGTTCTCGTAAGATATCTTGTTCAGCTATGATTAGTGGAGTTAACAGTCACAGTCTAGGTTCAGTTATCTTGCATTGCACAAGTGCCAAATCAAGTAATGGCGGCTTTTCCAGACAAAGTGGACAGAAGGTATTGCTGGAGTTTACATCTGAAAGTTTTTACAAGTATCAGGTATGCCAGATTTCTCCTTTTCCTGGTTAGTAGACGCTTGAGTAAATAATTTCGTAAAATAACTTGTACTAATTTTTATTTTCTTACATTTCAGTTGTTGCAGATTGGTTGTTATTATATGGCAAAGCATGATGGAGAAGATTCCTTTTGTAATCTCAGGGATTCTAGCTTTTCGAGCAGTGATTATATTCATATCCCTTCCAAGACCCATCTGTGGAGCCTTTTATTTACTCCTGATGAGAACTGTCAAAATAGTTCATCAAAAAATCTTCCATTAGATAATTCTCTGATAAATGATGAGGTGTCTGAAGAGCGTGATGAAGTACTTCTTCAGATGTCCCCTGGAAATGTTTCAGATATATCTCTCTGTCTCCCTGAAAATGCAATCGGTTTTGGAGAGGTAATCCTGACCGAATTGGAAGAGGGCCTGATCAAACCAGTCGTGACACGTGAAGAGGTTTTAATGACTCCGCCTCTTCTGTCACTTGATTTGAACTGCCTATTTCCTCAGGGAAATCTATCATCTTTGTGTGGGCAAGTGGTTGCTGTTCATAGTGTTGAAGAGAATTCTGTCGATTCATTTTTGAACTATCAGAACATTGGTGATCCTCTGCAGCTGAGATTATTGCAGAGAGATACGAGCAGCTGTATTCACGTTTTGGTGGACCATCAGATTGTAATTCTCTTCTCCTAGTTGTTAACTTCTTATTAAAATAAGATAAAATAGTGTGCCTATCTCATTTCATCATTTTAATCAAATAGGTAAGGCTATCTAGTTCTTGGAGTAAACATTCCTTTCCTGTCGGGTTTGGACCTGGTGTGGATGCAACGTTTCACCGGGTTCTTGAATTGCGGTATGCAATCTAATTAGTCTTTTCAAACATAATTAATTATCAGTTCACTTATTTAATGTTGCACTGCTATATATTAGTTTGACGGCTTGATGTCTATTCTTTGATTTCCAGGGGGCAAAATAGATGGATGTTGACAGCTGCATCATTTATTGTAATCAATTCCATAAGGGCAGTATGCTTTAACAAAAATTCAGTAAGGGTAGTCAATGAATCGTGCAGTGACAAGCACTCCGGTCCTGCTTCATACGTTCAGAATGATGGGCCTCTAGACATTGTTTCTTCAGGTTTGATTTCTGAGTTGGTACAGTGCTTGGATTCAAAGCCAATGCAGTTTCATTGCAGGGTAAGTCTTATATTGTCTTGTTTCTCTTTACGATTGAATCTTTTATCTCCTTTTCTGCTTTTCACAATCGTGTTCCTGGACGGATGAAGCTTATTCTTGTGTATCAACATTGGCCATCGAACAGGTTGTTGCTATCCATATTGTGGTTTTGGAGAGGAAAATTAGAAATGCCAATTATCAGCCTACAGATCACTTCAGGCCATATCTTGTCAACATCCCGCTTGCTGGTTTTGTTTTGGGTAATCTGTTTCTTTCTTCAGAAAGATGATCATATACAGCATTTTCGGCGTTTTAAAGTTTAACACTCCGTTCTACATGAATGGATAAACAAGATTTCGATTTGCTATCCTTGTACTTCTTTTGGACTTATCTTGTTTCCTTGTTCTAGTTTATGATTCTACTTCTCTATTCTTACGTGCAGACGACGGCTCATCCCCATGTTGTTGCTGGGCTAATTCCGAAAGAGCAGCAACCTTGCTAAGGCTGTATGAAGAATTCCCAGTGTCGGCTTTCGATACCAGTGGCTGGACCTTCAAGTGGATGAGAAAAAACAACAATGCATCTAGTGCCACCGTCTACCATCTTGATAGAATTTTAAAGAACCATGACCGGATTACAGTGAAGAACTTCGGATCAATGTTTGAGTCTTCCTATCAAGATCTCACTGTCTCTGTGAGTTCAGAAAACGCCCTCAGCAGCTACGACGAAAACCTCTTAAAGTTCATAATCTTTCACGCTTGCTTCAGCAAAATTTGGGTGAGTTAGGAACTGGTTCTCGCAGTAACTCTTCACTAAATGGCTCAATTATCAACTGCTTACGATGCTTCTGCTTCGACTTTGCAGACGATTGTCGGGAGGATGATGGATTCGAATGCAATCGAGCGGTTGAAGACGGCGAACGTTTTGGAAACGGAGGCGTCTGTGCATTCCATGCAACATGTTTGGGCCAGAGAAGTTCACTACACAAGTCCTCTCACCGAGGCCAGGAATGTTTTACAGCAACTGCTCGACGGGTGATTGTAAAATGTGAAGACCAAATTTTTGATGTTCATATAACTCCATATATTATAGCTCCCTTTTCTAATTCGTTTTACGAATTTATACGTATATCATATATTTTCTTAAAATTCAGCCAAACACATTTTAAAGAAATCTCAACATTAGCATTTTTCAGAAAACGCCTTTGCCTAATAAGAGTAGGTTTAAACTTGCCTAGACGCGGTTGAGGTGGGCCTGAGGAGTTCAATTGGACGTCTATTTTGTTTAAAAGTTACCGAAATCTAAAAAAAATTTAGTCGAAATCAGCAACTTCGTTGCGAGTTTTGTCACTTTAAATTGAGCCACTTTTGTTAATGGTTATCTAAGCATATTCTTTTCTGTTAGACTTTTTGTGTTTTAATATTATGTTACATATCTCAAAAAACTCAAAATAAGACATTTCTATGAAAGCATGTTGTTACCTCAAGGCTTCTGCCTGGGCAGGACTATTATGAAACGCCTCGCCTAAGCCTTCGCCCTTTAAAACATTATCGAGAATGCAAAGATTACACGAAATCTTGACAATTGCATAAAATTTTGTGGAAAACACAAGTTTTTAGTTTTTTACACTAAGGGCTGGTTTGGTATTGTTATACTTTGAAAAAAAGCTGCTGTGAGAATAAGCGGCTGTGCTGTGAGAATAAGCGGCTGTGAAATAAATCAGCAGAGTGTTTGGTAAACTTTTTTGTAAAAGTGCTTTTGGAAAAAAAAGCAATCTGATAGTGGGTCTTTTCATTAAAGGAGCACTGTAGCTCCGTGTGCTTTGAAAAAAAAAGCCAGTTTTCCAAAGCTGCAAATAGTAGCTTCAGCTTTTTCCTTTGATTTCAGCTTATTCTCACAGCAGCTTCCAAAATAAGCCCTTTTTTTTCAGTTTACCAAACACCTAAAACCGTCACAGCTTTTTTTCATGGGTGCTTTTTTTTTTAAGCACCTCACTCCCAAACCACCCTTAAGAAGGTGCATTAGCTTGACCATATGAGCAATCAAGGCATCTAGAATCTAATCAACTTTCTGCCAATACAGACACTCAGTAACATGAGAAAAAACAAAATAATCACAAAAACATGGAACAGCATTTGTGCTCTGAACTCCAGCTATAGTTTTGTGAGGAAGCTTCACGTTGAGAAGATGAGAGAGGCCTGCTATTACGTGCAGTCGACTGCTCGGAATCCCCGTCTTTGCCGGTGCCATCCCCTTCTTGTCCACTATAACAAAGCAATGCACATATCTGATGTCGTAATGGAGGAGCTGCATTTGCATTTCCAGCGACGGAAAAACTATCAGACAATCTATTAGCTTCAACGTGTATTCAAGCGCGGTTTCAAACCCAAATCGGTGATGTAATTTTCATAGCATTTCCTTGACACTACAAGCTTCAAAATAACAAAAACCAGTGTGTTTTCATATTACAAGGTCGAAAAATTAAAATATATAACATGTATATGGAGAAAATGTTGAGGATGAAGGGTACCTCGGGATGCCATTTCGAGTTCTCTGCATCTGCCATGACAATGTTAAGCCACTCCGAGTTCCTACTCTCAACCTCCACAACAAAATTAAGCAAAGAATTGCACAGCCTGCATACTATTGGCCAACGAAAACAAGGATTGCGAAACTGAGCTTTAAATAGAGCCACTCTCGTGAAAACTTACAAAGATGAAATGATTGTCACTTTTTAAAACATCACACAACAACAAATACATCACTGTTCTTCTTACCTTTTGCCAAAAGCATGTGGGCGCATTCACCCCCACAACTTTTACAACAGAGATTACTTTTTATTTTATTTTTGTTAGAAACAAACGGTAATAAGTAGAGTATCCTTAACTAACTAAGTTACAAATTTTTTGCAAGTTACTTTTCCGTTGAATTCTCTAGGTTAATGGTGGTCTGCCATGCACTAACCCACGTTTAGTTGTTTCTAGAGGCCGTAATCCCTCCCTAATCATACCCATGAACATGTTTTTCTCCCTCTGAGTGGAGTTTGGCCAAAATTCTAACCACAAGCCCACTCGTCAACATTTTGACACCCTCCCCCCTCTTGGTTATCCCATCCTACCAACTCTAAATGGTTGAAAACGACATTGGCATTAGGAGAAAACCAAAAGCCACCACAAAATATTTGACAAATCTTACATTTTATATCAACAAAAATGTTAATTTAGAACTCCCTCAAAATCTCTGCACCTTTTTTTGCCACTTTATACCCAACTCTAGTGAGAAAAGAAGGCGATTTTCCGGCCGACTTGCTTCATAACATATGACCAAAATGTACTATATAAACCCACCAATCTGCTCAAACCCCCCATCACCTCAATCTCATTAGTCACAAATTCCACCTTAATTACATTTCTCTAATCTCCCTCCCCTATTCAGGAATTCAAACATGGGTTTCAGTTTCTCTTCACAAGGCGTTGTTTTGATTGTCCTAGCTGTCTCTTTGTTGGCGGTTTGCCAAGCCAAAACTGTCGTCGTAGGAGGCTCTCAAGGTTGGCGTTTCGGCTTCAACTACACTGACTGGACTCTCAAAAATGGCCCATATTACATCAAGGACACGCTAGGTAAGTCAACCGGACGTATTGCGCCGATCAAACCAGTTACTTACATCCCGCAACTATCTTGCGTTAGAGAAAATTCCAGCTATTCACAATGTGTGTCATATATTTTCCATTTTTTTGATGTGCAGTTTTCAAGTACAGTGCACCAAGCAACGCCGGCGCTCATGACGTGTACTTGCTGCCGGACCTGTGGAGCTACATAACATGTGATTTCCGTAGGGCAAAGCTGGTGGCAAAAGCTACGCAGGGAGGCGGCCAGGGGTTTAAGTTTGTGCTGAACCAGTGGCGGCCACACTACTTTGCTTGCGGTCAGGGAGCCAACAGGTCTCACTGCAAACAGGGGATGATGAAGTTCTTCGCCGTGCCATGGCCACACTGGCAGCTATAGTCGATGCCAGGGACGAGCTAGGCCTCGGGCCAGGGAAGAAGCAGTGCTTTAATTTTGCTGTTTTTGTGTGATTTGATATATGTATTCAATAAAAACGGAGTCAGGACCATGAGTATTTTGTTCAAATAAATGTTTCCAACGATATGAACTTCGTACGGACATAAGTATTATAATCTCTGCTATGCGTTCGATGTATGGCCCGGAGATGGCCCCGATTCTGCAGATGCTTATTTTACAAGATCTCAGTCAAGTATGGTAATAACTGTTTAATTATCAGGCTCACCAAAATTTTCTACGCCTCGTTCGGACTTGTATGCCAGCTTAGTCAAAGTTGCTTCAACTAACATTGTGGTACGAATCAATGATGGCATCCGAGAGGTATTCACATTTCGCCAAAGATAATCCTGCCAGGGAAATCCTCCCGTCCTTTGTCATGTATACATGCCACTTGTTTGTCATGTTTTCGGTCTGACCAGACAAATCGGAAGGAGACCAGTTTAAATCTAGGAGCTGTGCAGAGAAATAAAGATCAAATCACAGGACTTAAAGAATGAGGATTTACCTGAGCTTTGTTTAAGCCGGTGAATGAAAACATGCCGATCTGCTTAAGTATAAATGACCAATCCTTTCCACTCTTATCTGTTGCAGTCAGGTTATCGTATAGTTTTTGTCTCACGCCCTTTATCCTTCCAGCCATCATCTCCATCTCTGCTTTCCACTCGTTGAAGAGTGCTGGATCTCCAACTACATTGGCCACAATTCTAGCACCGTGGATTGGAGGATTTGAGTACATAGGTCGAGCGATCCTCTTCAATTGGCTCTTTACCCTGAGCATAAAAGCTTTAATCACTAGCACATCCCAAAAACTCAGGCACGAGTCGCAACGGATATGTCAATGTACTCCTAGCAGAAGTGATTACGATCATAGACTCAAATAACCACAATACTGTAACCACTTACAGGAACTTAGATTATACCCAAGCCATTAAATTAAAACCTCAAATAAGATTAAGCAACTTTGTTACTTGGAAAATTATGCATTATGAGTGACGTTTATGCATATTGATGGTTATTATACCTTGTTGCTGCATCAGATGATGCGCAGACAACATTGATTGCTCCAATTCTTTCTGCATAGAGCCCAAGGTTTTTACTGTATGACTGAGCAACCAGAAGCTCTAGACCACGTGCAGCAAACAATCTGACAGATGCTGCATCAGTATCCAAGCTTCCACTAGCAAATCCCTACAGCACGATACCATATCAACATAAGTTCATTTATGAATAAACGAATGAAAATTAATACGAAATATAACATCAAAACTTTGATTCTTAAGATTCTATATTATCATTTCCATTTCTGTAAATACCTGGTATGCAACATCAAAAAAGGGGATATGGTTTTTTTCTTGAATGACATCAGCAATTTTTTCCCACTGTTCGGGGGTTGGATCTATGCCGGTAGGGTTGTGAGCACAGCCATGAAGCAACACAAAAGATCCTTCAGGTGCTGCCTACAAGATAGAACGGTATACAAATTAGTGGTTACTCCAGAACAGCAGACAGAGATAGAGAAGATATAAACACATCGCAATTGTAGTTATTGAAAAACATGTCTGCTCAAGATCCAGAGCCTAGCATCAATGAGCGTACCGATTCCAAAAATCCAAAACTACAACGTATATGTACATGGTTACACAATTCCTGCACAAAGCTATCTTACCTTTATGTCTGCTATCATCCCCTCGAAATCCAAACCAACTGTTTTTGGATCATAGTATCGGTACTCTGACCATGGAACTCTAGAGTCGTTAAAAATGTTTTTGTGATTACCTGCAATACAATTATGTTAGACTTGAGACATGACAAATTAGTAATCTTGAGACAGTCTTATAATAATACAGAAGTGATAATACAGACCCCAGGTTGGAGATGATATTAAAACTTTTGCCCCTGGAAAATATCGTTCGATAAAAGCCCCAGCAAGGCGAAGAGAACCAGTTCCTGATAGACCTTGGACAGTTGCTAGCTTCAAAAAATGAAAAATAAAAAATTAATAGACCGAGATAAGATCAAAGAGATGTACTGTATGATTTATTTTATGAGTTCCGATTTCTTGCTTACTCTCTGTTGCTTTATTACTGGGTTGTCTGCTCCAAATAATAACTCTGCAGTCACTTTGTTGAACGCTGCCAAACCTTCTATTGGGAGGTACTACATGATTGTAAATATATTGAAGTTAGTAAATCTTAATTTTACGAAGAAAAAATTCAGATCAGTTACATTGTTGAGTATGCTTACCTCTTTGTTTTCCCCCCTCTCAATCATAAGATTCTCTGCCTACAAAAGCAAATCATGTCGCTTTGAATCGGAATGTCAGATTGAACAGCAAGAACAAAAACAAGTACAATAATTAGCTTTCGATTCCTAGGAGTATCAAGTGGAATCTCATAACTCGTTAGCAAAAGATTTTTGTATTTTGTGGAGGATAGCGATCTGACCTTCTTAACAACATCAAGCACGTATGGCTGAAGATCTTCCGTTCGATATGCCCCAACTCCAAGGTTGAGCTTTGACTCGTTTGTGCTAGCTTTGAATGCTTCAGACACTCCGAGAATTGGATCAGGTGGGGCCATCGTTACACCCTCGAATTTAGAGACATTCACGGCAGCTACCATAGATACCCTACCAAAAGACTACAGAAACCAAAACACCACCGCATTAGCATCAACGTCAAAGCAAAAAGTCGATAAATGCCCACAAAATAGCCATAGCAGCTCACAGCACATACCTCTGTCTTCGCAAATAGACAGTTTCTTTCCTTGTTCAAGCTCCAAGAAGTACTCCCAAGCTTCAACTTCCCCTGTTCAAAATACACACTAAACACGTTCAGTACTTCGATTTCAATTTCGATTTCCGAGATTCCGAGAACAAAATCACACACCATCTCAGTTTTCCCGGAAAGAGCAAATTGTAGCAATGACCCCTTAATTTTAACTCAATTGGAACAATGGTCCCTCAACTAAAAATTCATTACCATTGATTTCTTAACCCATCAAAACGTGTAGTTATGGTCCGTCAACTAAAAATCTATTACCATTGGTTCCTCAACTTTAATTCAACTCAAGAAATGATCCCTCAACTTGAACCCAATTGGAGCAATGGTCTTTCAACTTAAACCTAATTATAGCAATGGTCACTCCAACATAACTCATTTTGACAAAATTTAGACGAAGTTAACGAAAAGAACCATAGCTACACGTTTTGATGAGTTGATGGACCCCAATTGCAGCAACGGTCCTTCTAACATAACTCATTTTGACAAAATTTTAACGAAAATGACCATAGCTACACATTTTAATGAATCGAGGACCAATGGTAATTGATTTTTAATTTATGGGCCATTGCTCCAAATTGATTAAAATTGAGGGAGCATTGCTACAATTTGCTCTTCCCGGAAACTTAACATTTTCTCGGCAACCAAACAGTAAGATCAAAGAAGAAGACGAAAATCGGAATTAATTACGAAACGATTAAAAGAGCGGTAGTACCTTGGGAGTCTCGTGATGGGACAGAGAAGCCGACGGCGAGACGGAAGCTAAGGACAGCATCGCTGAAGCCATCTGAATTCAGCAATCGAGATAAGATAACATACACCAGAAAAATTGATGAGCCAAAAAAATTGATTAATTACGTGATCCAGGAGCAAATCAAGAGCTAAAGAGATGATGATTAAGATGTGATTAACCAGATTCAGGCGGATTAAAACAATTGAGTATAATCGGATGTGGTTGGAATCCAGGAAGACGATGAGATTAAGTTAAAATGCGAGCGATTAGGAGAACTCACCGAGAGAGAAAGAGGAGGGCGATGAACACGAAGAGGATGACTGGGCTGTTTGAGCGAGGTGATCTTTCGTTGGTTTGCTTCTATTGGCTGGGTTAAGTGGGTTTTGGATTTGCGAGCGAATCAGAGTGAGATTTTTTGCCGTTATATATTTGGAATCGTTATTGTTGTGTGGGTAGGAACGGAACTTCACTACGTCACTTCAAAATTGTTATCGTCATCATTAGTTTATTTACTCATCAAGACGTTAGTCCTTTCGTCCAACTCTGTCGGACTTTAGGATTGTGTTGAAATAACTATTGCTACAATTAGGTAAAATTGCGAGATCATGCTACAATTAGGTTTAGGGTTTAGGTTAAAATTGAGTGATCATTTCTCCAATTGAATTAAGATTTAGAAATCGTTACTATAATTTTCTCATTTGGTTTTCCATATTTGTTCCTTAATTCAGCTCCACGTGCGCAGCATGTGACTCATTTTGATGAAAATTGTAACGGAGTTGACAAAAATGACCATACATGCACGTTTTGATAACTTAAGGTACCAATAACAATAGATTTTTAAGTGAAAGATTATTATTCGGATTAAAATTAAGAGACTATTACTACAATTTTCTCTTAAGATTAAATATCACACTCCAAAACACACGAGAAAATGCCCAAGGAGGTTGAAATGCTAGGGGACAGAATTTTACACAGCACAATATGAGCTCAATTTCCGACGCGTAAAATTCATGATAATGATTAGAAGGAGATTAAAATGCCTCTGATAGTATTTCACGTTTGTAGATCATAAGTTAAGTTCAATATCTATAAATAGCGAGCTCAATTAGCATAAATCTCCTACTTCTAATATCGTTATTTTAATGAAAGACTTCACCATTACAAATTGATCTTTCAACGTCCCTTCTCTTACATTAAACAACAAACCCCTTCGTTATAATTCTGACAACCATCAAATACATAATCATTTCCACTTCCGCGCCCTTCGAAATATTTTTAAAATAATAAAAGCGTTTTTAATAAAAATATTTTTAAAATCAATCCTTAATAAAATGACAACAACGAATCTTTAAAAAACAATTCAAGTGCTTTTGGAATCAAATATGATTTTGTACCTGACTCTTTGGAAAGAAAATGAATAAATTTAACTACAAAATTTCGATATTTAGGATCGGATACTTGTAGGCAACATGAATTCAAGGTATGTTAAAGCGAGAGGCGAATGATTTTCATTGGGAGAAGATTAAAATGCGATTAGTCGTGGTGAAGGAAATTTATTCTTTCTAATCCCGAATTCGGGAAATTAAAAGGAAATTCAACAGCCTACCTTGAATTTTATATTTATCCACTCCGATCCAACACTAATTACCAAATTACCAATCAAGCACTTCTTGTATATACCAAGTTCACAGAACACAAGGAAAAGGAAAACAAGATTCTCCAGCAGATAGATTTAATCGAGAATTCAAGGGGAAGCTAAAAGCACTTCTGAAATTTAAAAAGGGGAAGATAAAAGCACTTCTGAGATCTAAAGACTCTTATGAGTTCTTACAACTCGATGGATACTCAAGAAGGTCACAACCAAAAACTAAAACCCCTAAATCAAAAACACAAAATAAGCAAAATTGCCATTGAAAATTTGGGAGCAAAGCACCTCAGAATCCGAGCTTGGTGCGGCGCCAGTGCCTGCGTTTCGCATTGTACCTGATCCACAACACGGAAAGAACCGAAAAATTATAAGCATCTGGGAACCGATCAAGAACCAAAGCAAAATTAAGAGAAAATTAAGAAACAATTAAACGAAAATTAGAGTAAATGGAGAAGTATTTATGGACCTGATGGTGTTGTCGGTCCTCATACGGATCCAGTGAGGGATGGGCCTGTTCTGCCTCATCTTCTTCGCCAGCTTCTTCTTGATCATGAAGCTCTTGTGCGACGGCTGCGCATATTTACCAAAAAATAAAAACAAAAAAAACTCATCAGAAACTCAATCATTTTCCATTAATAGGAGTCAGAGAGCGAGAGAGAGAGAGAGGGGGAGTCACCATTTTGGCGAGCTTGGAGATCCGCCGCGAAGTTTACAGCAGAGAGCAAAACAGCGAAAACCCTAACAGCGCGAAGAATGGCGAAAACCGGCGCTAGTTCAGTTTTGATACAAGGGAAGGGTAAAAATGGAATTCTACAATTTGTGGCCCAAACCAAAACCACCGTCTCTGTGAATGTTGGTTTCAAGGCCCAGATTACAAGGAATTCAAGCCCAATGTCCCGGAAGGTTCGTATGGGTTAATTGGATCAACTCGGTTGTAAAAGGTTATTCTTCGTCACAATCTTAAAGCTCGTTTAGAAGTACTTTCCAAATGACTGAATGTGCTTTTGGTGAAATGATTTTTGGTTCAAAAGCACTTGATCTGCTTTCTGAAGCATCAGTTTTGTGCTTTTTATAGGAAACGCTTCGAGTGATTTTTTAGGATATAGTTGTACTTTTACAAAGGATTAGTTTCAAAAACACTTTCTTCAAAATTGTTTTCAATTATCTTAAAAGCACTTTCAAACGATCCCTTATTTTACATTTGATGATACCATATTAAGAATACTCGACTTTATTAAAGATATTCAAACTTGGATGCAAAGGAAAAAATCAATAACTGATCTAATTCACATATGCATTTTGTAGCATTTGCGCATTTGAATTGAGGATCAAGCCAAACACAACAAAAACTAACAAGATTCAAATGCAAGGAAATGGGAGTCGGCATACAACTAGAGAATCTAGTAAACGTCATTCTAGAAGTATTCCAAATCAATCGTTATGAGTAAATTTCTCTTCGCTAAAGGAAAAAGTAGCAGCGGAGGAGCATGGTCGCTACCAAAAGTCTTCACCACTCAGCGTACGAAGGGAATGAGGAAGTACTCGGCATAAAACAGCTGCATTCGACAACAGTATTAAGTTTAGCGTTATACAAACAAAACCTTGTATATATTTAGATTACGAAAAAACGAGATCAAGAAATCATTCAACCTTCCAGATGAACATGTAAAACGAAGTGAGTGACGCTTTATTGGCTATGTCGACGGACCGAGCTCGAATCCACAGAAGGGAAGCGAGTGCACTGTGCCCTATTATCTGCAATTCTAGCCATATCAGTAAAACAGTAAATAAAAATAGGTAGGATAGGAGAGCAACGTACATGACACAGGGACGCGACGTTGTACCGGTGCCATGTACGTTATATCTCATAAGTTATACATGCAGACGTACAGTGAACAGCTTGCATGGCAAGAATGAGGAAGAAGCTCCTATGGCCAAGGCAGCACCGTATGCCATTAACAGCATATTTACGCATACCCAATATACCTGCAAAAGAAGGAAATATACTTCAGGTTTTGACTTCATTGTTTCAACTGAGAATTACACAATATGCCCTAGAAAATAAAATAAAAAAATAAACACATTAACGAAATTCAGTAACCTTCTCTTGCCCAAGGCTAACACTGAATGATTGAATGCCAAAATCTCTATCACCATCCACATCTGGTATATCCTTTAAAAAAATGCCAAGGAAAATGTAAATTCGTAACTACGATTGTTCCAGTCGAAGATAGTATATCGGTTGTAAGGTTTGAATGCTCTGAATCACTTGAGCTATAATTAACCGCATTGCTGTTTTCGTTATATATGATTAAATCTGTTACAGTAATTAGTTAAGTTGCAGCAGGTCTAACCTTGAATAGAGCAATGACGGAGGAGAAGATGCACATGAAAAACACCGCAAACGCCAGTGATCTTGTAAGTATAACTGGTCTACCGAGGACATATTTCTGTAAATACAAACAATTAACTTCTTCAACGCCGATGGATGACAAATTAACAACTACATGTACGTAACCTGTTTCATTCGGATCGAGTCACCATTTTATGCATGTATACCTGGATGTGCACGTAGAAAGCAAGCTGGACAACGATAGCCCTCACGATTAGGATGCAAGTAGCTGCAAGAAATGCATGCCTCTTCCACCTAAGCAAGGGAAGCTACTCAAGCCAGAGAGACAGAGAAATTCAGATGTTGATTGGTTTGATGGTCACATTTTATTCTTCAGAAGCCAGTAAGAGATTATATGAGCAAGCATAAGTAACTCACCTCAACGGAATAAGCCGTTCCGAGAAGAAAACTAATCACAAGCGCAGAAAACAGCGGCGGAGACTTGAACATAAATCCCATTGCAAAACTCTTGAAAATTAACAGAAAAAAAAAATTATCAGATGGTAAGAAAAAATTGGAAAAGCTTGTATATGCCTACGTCTACGGTCCACATGACAACAAGAAATAAGACATGGTAGATGTATCTGCCAGTCAATTACCATCAGCAGAACTGTGGAAACAATTGTGATCCCAGCCCCCATGGAGAATTCACCCGAAGCAAGCGGGAGTTCGGGTTTGTTAACCTGAGCACCAAGCAAAAGAATACAAAATCAACACTATATACTAAGATTTTCACCGTGTTAGAAACTCCATTATTATATGAATGAACGATATACCTTGTCTATTTCGACGTCGTACAATTGATTCAATCCCACCACATAAATGTTCATTAGTATTGAGGGCACCAATGCCTGCAGAAAGATATGATCATTTGGGGAAAAAATGTAACATATAAATATATATATGTATACATATATTGAATTTTTTACCTTCAACAGTCCTACAAAAAATGCAGTGGACAGGTCAGTAACATTTTCTAATGGAAGAAGAGAGACCGACGATATTCCTATAACCTGAAAAGAAAACCAAACAAGATGAATTCGTGAAGCTTGCAATTGTTCGATATCCGAGTGTGATTATATTGATAAATGAGAGGAAATGTACGTATATGTGGAACTCACAGTGCCAATTACAGTGTGAGGACGACAAAATCGACGAAAGGCATCCCATTGTTTACTAAGGCCAGCTTGAAAGCGAGTCAGAAATTCATCACCACTTTCTGGTTTTGCTGATGCGTAGCCATTTTGAAAAGAAATAGGTAGGCAATACCATTTCTTGAATCTTTTACCACGGTTTCTGGTGGCGACTGTGATCTTCTTCTGATCACAATTTGGATTTGCATTTGTGGGAACAGATAATATCGTTGATCCGGAACAACATCGCGGGAATGGCTTCTTGTTCTTGGTTAAGTTGCAATGTGTTAGCTTCAGTACTGCCACTTGAACTGGCATTACGCAGTTACGATAATTTCAAACGATAAAAGATCATTATATCAAATAAAAAAAAGTAAAGAAATTCAACCAGGAGATTAAAACTAGTTACTGCATCTGCATGTATATGTATTTACAGCAAAATAATAATAATAATAATAATAAAATATAATATAAAAAATTATTTGCTAAACGAACTCCAAATTTTGCTGAACAGATAATCTTTAGAGATTTGTCAATATATAAAAAAATAATAAAAAAAAAAATTCAAAAGTTAACCACTACAGTTGAGAACCGGAGAGAAATGTGCTTACCACTTGTTTGCTTATTCAACTGTTTTACTTCTCTCGAAATCCCACTTGGTAAAGGTAAATCAAGAAAAGTTTGATCATCGACTCGTACATACTTTTGTTTATTTTTTATTTTTAAATTGAATAAAGTGACCGAGAATCAAATAAGAGCTTTAAACAAAGCGTGCGAAAATCATTTTTTATTTTTTTATCAGATAAAAGAGACGGAAACTAACCATGAGGACAAGACCATGAACGTGGAGACTTGTACTGAAGCATCTCTCTGCCTCCTCTTTGCACTTCCAATCAGATTGACAAAAAAATGATAAATGTATTCAAACAATTAATCTCCAGTTTTTTGGTTCAAAATGGTAAAAATGTTTTGATGGTTGTAATCTGTGCTGACATTTGAAAGTATTAAAAACCGAGAGATTTTGCCTGTTTAGCTCCTCAATAATTATTTACCGAAAAAAAGATAAATGATTGTTTGACCTTCCAAACGTACTTACGTTGCACTTTAACATGAGTTTTGTTTTGGGCCAAATTGTATTCTTGTCGGGCTTAATCTGCAATTTCAAAGCGCAGTCTGTGAAGCAAATAAGCCCAAACTTGAATCTGCGTAATTCTGACATGGAGGCCTATAACTATAAAGCCTAAACATTTGTAACTACCAAACCCAAAGAAGCGGTCACACTCAACATGGAGTACAACTTTGTCTAAAATCAAAGAAAGTTTTGGATTGGGGACGAATTTCAGATTTGTATGTCACACGGCACGTAGTAGGTTTGATTTCTGGCACTAGTAAATCACACAATGGTGGTCTTGAAAGAGTAGATTGCCGTGGCGAAGCCATCAGCTAGTCACCTTTTAAAAATGTTATTAATTCAAAAGTTATAGCATGGTTAATATGTCACACATTTAGAGTATATATTGCCAAAAAATATATATATACATATACATATATAGGCCCTTTAAGGAAAGGGATCTCAATTTTTTTTCAAAAATTATATATATAATATTTCGTGATGATCGCTCTGAAAAACTTATCCGACCCAATCAAATTTCATTTTTTGTAATAAGGGTTTAAATGAAAGGGTAGTTCATTATAGGAATGTTAATTTTGCATAATTTGTGCGGCACATGGCTTCGAAAGGGACTGATATTTGATGGTTGAATAACTTTCCTATTCTATTGATCGATTGACATCATGTAAGTTTCTACTGAATTGAACCATACGCATGCATGGTAGCCGAGCCTCTCAACTCTCCTTCTACGCAACTCACACAGCACGCCAACAACATGTGCTTGAGCCTGACTAATTTTTGTGGGCTTGCAACATTGCCCGGATCGTGTTCAGAGCCTCAAACAGAGACCCTTCACTTGAGGTTTTATACTTGAATCTTCTTACCTGATATCTCGGGCTTGAATCTGCGGTAATAATCCAATCAACAACACGGTGCTAGATTGGTTAGAAAGCTCAGTTTTTGATGCTGCAAACAGGGGCACGGACATATATGTCATTTTCGTTGCAATGTTGCATACCAATGAGTAATACGTTGTGATGAGGTTGTCGTTCAAAGTTTGAAATGAAGCAAGAAGACAGTGGGGCAAAAATCCCATGGGATGCGGGCGAAATCTGGAGCTGGACGACACACATTTATACCTATCACAATCACAAAAACCGCGTCGAAGA